ATCCTCCTCTTCATCATCATCATCATCCTCATCCTCATCATTCATCATCCTCATCCTCCTCTTCATCATCCTCATCCTCCTCTTCATCATCATCATCCTCCTCCTCCTCTTCATCATCATCATCCTCCTCTTCATCATCCTCATCCACATCCTCCTCTTCATCATCCTCTTCATCCTCCTCCTGGTGTAGTCCTGGTGTAGTCCTGGTTGAGTCCTGGTGTAGTCCTGATGTAGTCCTGGTTGAGTCCTGGTTGAGTTCTGGTTGAGTCCTGGTTGAGTCCTGGTGTAGTCCTGGTTGAGTCCTGGTGTAGTCCTGGTTGAGTCCTGGTGTAGTCCTGGTGTAGTCCTGGTTGAGTCCCGGTTGAGTTCTGGTGTAGTCCTGGTTGAGTCCTAGTTGAGTCCCGGTTGAGTTCTGGTGTAGTCCTGGTTGAGTCCTGGTTGAGTTCTGGTTGAGTCCTGGTTGAGTCCTGGTTGAGTTCTGGTGTAGTCCTGGTGTAGTCCTGGTTGAGTCCTGGTTGAGTTCTGGTGTAGTCCTGGTGTAGTCCTGGTTGAGTCCTGGTTGAGTTCTGGTGTAGTCCTGGTGTAGTCCTGGTTGAGTCCTGGTTGAGTTCTGGTGTAGTCCTGGTGTAGTCCTGGTTGAGTTCTGTTGTAGTCCTGGTTGAGTCCTGGTTGAGTCCTGGTGTAGTCCTGGTGTAGTCCTGGTTGAGTTCTGGTGTAGTCCTGGTGTAGTCCTGGTTGAGTTCTGTTGTAGTCCTGGTTGAGTCCTGGTGTAGTCCTGGTGTAGTCCTGGTTGAGTCCTGGTGTAGTCCTGGTGTAGTCCTGGTTGAGTCCTGGTGTAGTCCTGGTTGAGTTCTGGTGTAGTCCTGGTGTAGTCCTGGTTGAGTCCTGGTGTAGTCCTGGTTGAGTTCTGGTTGAGTCCTGGTGTAGTCCTGGTTGAGTTCTGTTGTAGTCCTGTTGTAGTCCTGTTGTAGTCCTGGTGTAGTCCTGGTTGAGTCCTGGTTGAGTCCTGGTGTAGTCCTGGTTGAGTCCTGGTTGAGTTCTGGTGTAGTCCTGGTGTAGTCCTGGTTGAGTCCTGGTGTAGTCCTGGTGTAGTCCTGGTTGAGTCCTGGTTGAGTCCTGGTTGAGTCCTGGTGTAGTCCTGGTGTAGTCCTGGTGAGTCCTGGTTGAGTCCTGGTGTAGTCCTGGTGTAGTCCTGGTGTAGTCCTGGTTGAGTCCTGGTTGAGTCCTGGTTGAGTCCTGGTGTAGTCCTGGTGTAGTCCTGGTGTAGTCCTGGTTGAGTCCTGGTTGAGTCCTGGTGTAGTCCTGGTGTAGTCCTGGTGTAGTCCTGGTTGAGTCCTGGTTGAGTCCTGGTTGAGTTCTGGTGTAGTCCTGGTGTAGTCCTGGTGTAGTCCTGGTGTAGTCCTGGTTGAGTCCTGGTTGAGTCCTGGTTGAGTCCTGGTTGTAGTCCTGGTGTAGTCCTGGTGTAGTCCTGGTGTTAGTCCTGGTTGAGTCCTGGTTGAGTCCTGGTTGAGTTCTGGTGTAGTCCTGGTGTAGTCCTGGTGTAGTCCTGGTGTAGTCCTGGTTGAGTCCTGGTTGAGTCCTGGTTGAGTCCTGGTTGAGTTCTGGTGTAGTCCTGGTGTAGTCCTGGTTGAGTCCTGGTTGAGTCCTGGTTGAGTTCTGGTGTAGTCTGGTGTAGTCCTGGTGTAGTTCCTGGTGTAGTCCTGGTGGTTGAGTCCTGGTTGAGTCCTGGTTGAGTCTGGTTGAGTTCTGGTGTAGTCCTGGTTGAGTTCTGTTGTTGTAGTCTGGTGTAGTCCTGGTGTAGTCCTGGTGTAGTCCTGGTTGAGTCCTGGTTGAGTTCTGGTGTAGTTCTGGTGTAGTCCTGGTGTAGTCCTGGTTGAGTCCTGGTTGAGTCCTGGTGTAGTCCTGGTGTAGTCCTGGTGTAGTCCTGGTGTAGTCCTGGTTGAGTCCTGGTTGAGTCCTGGTTGAGTTCTGGTTGAGTCCTGGTTGAGTCCTGGTGTAGTCCTGGTGTAGTTCTGGTGTAGTCCTGGTGTAGTCCTGGTGTAGTCCTGGTGTAGTCCTGGTTGAGTCCTGGTTGAGTCCTGGTGTAGTCCTGGTGTAGTCCTGGTGTAGTCCTGGTTGAGTCCTGGTTGAGTTCTGGTTGAGTCCTGGTTGAGTTCTGGTTGAGTCCTGGTTGAGTCCTGGTGTAGTCCTGGTTGAGTCCTGGTGTAGTTCTGGTGTAGTCCTGGTGTAGTCCTGGTGTAGTCCTGGTTGAGTCCTGGTGTAGTCCTGGTTGAGTTCTGGTTGAGTCCTGGTTGAGTCCTGGTGTAGTCCTGGTGAGTTCTGGTTGAGTCCTGGTGTAGTCCTGGTTGAGTCCTGGTTGAGTCCTGGTTGAGTCCTGGTGTAGTCCTGGTTGAGTCCTGGTTGAGTTCTGGTGTGGTTCCAGGTGAAGGACGAGTGTCGGGCTCAACTCGTCTTGGATTTGTCCAAATTCGATCGTTGTGAAGAAATGAAGAAAGAAAAAAGTCGCAGCAAAAAAAACCACAGTCGCTTCATCCTCCAGAAAAACACCAGCACGAATACTGTGAGTACTACAAGTACTACAAGTACTACTACTACTACTACTACTACATCCTCCAGAAAAACACCAGCACGAATACTGTGAGTACTACAAGTACTACAAGTACTACTACTACTACTACTACTACATCCTCCAGAAAAACACCAGCACGAATACTGTGAGTACTACAAGTACTACAAGTACTACTACTACTACTACTACTACTACTACATCCTCCAGAAAAACACCAGCACGAATACTGTGAGTACTACAAGTACTACAAGTACTACTACTACTACTACTACTACATCCTCCAGAAAAACACCAGCACGAATACTGTGAGTACTTACAAGTACTACAAGTACTACTACTACTACTACTACTACTACTACATCCTCCAGAAAAACACCAGCACGAATACTGTGAGTACTACAAGTACTACAAGTACTACTACTACTACTACTACTACTACTACTACTACTACTACTACATCCTCCAGAAAAACACCAGCACGAATACTGTGAGTACTACAAGTACTACAAGTACTACTACTACTACTACTACTACATCCTCCAGAAAAACACCAGCACGAATACTGTGAGTACTACAAGTACTACAAGTACTACTACTACTACTACTACTACTACTACTACTACTACTACTACTACTACATCCTTCAGAAAAACACCAGCACGAATACTGTGAGTACTACAAGTACTACAAGTACTACTACTACTACTACTACATCCTCCAGAAAAACACCAGCACAAATACTGTGAGTACTACAAGTACTACAAGTACTACTACTACTACTACTACTACATCCTCCAGAAAAACACCAGCACGAATACTGTGAGTACTACAAGTACTACAAGTACTACTACTACTACTACTACTACTACTACTACTACTACTACATCCTCCAGAAAAACACCAGCACGAATACTGTGAGTACTACAAGTACTACAAGTACTACTACTACTACTACTACTACTACATCCTCCAGAAAAACACCAGCACGAATACTGTGAGTACTACAAGTACTACAAGTACTACTACTACTACTACTACTACTACTATCCTCCAGAAAAACACCAGCACGAATACTGTGAGTACTACAAGTACTACAAGTACTACTACTACTACTACTACTACTACTACATCCTTCAGAAAAACACCAGCACGAATACTGTGAGTACTACAAGTACTACAAGTACTACTACTACTACTACTACTACATCCTCCAGAAAAACACCAGCACGAATACTGTGAGTACTACAAGTACTACAAGTACTACTACTACTACTACTACTACTACTACTACTACTACTACTACTACCTCCAGAAAAACACCAGCACGAATACTGTGAGTACTACAAGTACTACAAGTACTACTACTACTACTACTACTACATCCTCCAGAAAAACACCAGCACGAATACTGTGAGTACTACAAATACTACAAGTACTACTACTACTACTACTACTACTACTACATCCTCCAGAAAAACACGACCGCGAATACTGTGAGTACTACAAATACTACTATAAGTACTACAAATATTGTGAGTATTACAAGTACTACTACTACTACTACTACTACAAGTACTACAAATACTGTGAGTACTACAAATACTACTATAAGTACTACAAATTCTGTGAGTACTTACGAGTACTACAAATACTATTACAAGTACTACTACAAGTACTACAAATTCTAAAAATACTACTACATATACTACTACTACAACTGATACTACTGCTACTGGTTTAGTCCTGGTTTAGTCCTGGTTCAGTCCTGGTTCAGTCCTGGTTTAGTCCTGGTTTAGTCCTGGTTCTGTTTCAGGTCCACACTCTGGTCTTTGTGGCTCTGAGTCCTGAGGAGAAAGAATCCTGGATCCAGGTCCTGAACTCGGCCATCACCCGAGCCAAGAGCCGACCCCGAGACCCCGCCTTAGACCAGGTACGAGTCCGGGTCCAGACCCAGTCCAGACCGGGCCTGAGTCCTCTTAACACTGATAGCTCCTCTCACCTGTAGCTGTCTCACCTGTCTGTCTCACCTGTCTGTCCCTGTCCTGCAGGTGGCGCTGGAGGACATGTCTCACTGTCTGTCTCACTGTCCCTGTCCTGCAGGTGCGCTGGAGGACGTGTCTCACCTGTCTGTCCCTGTCCTGCAGGTGGCGCTGGAGGACGTGTCTCACCTGTCTGTCCCTGTCCTGCAGGTGGCGCTGGAGGACGTGTCTCACCTGTCTGTCCCTGTCTGTCTGCAGGTGCGCTGGAGGACGTGTCTCACCTGTCTGTCCCTGTCCTGCAGGTGGCGCTGGAGGACGTGTCTCACCTGTCTGTCCCTGTCCTGCAGGTGGCGCTGGAGGACGTGTCTCACCTGTCTGTCCCTGTCCTGCAGGTGGCGCTGGAGGACGTGTCTCTGGTACATTTGACAAAGGAGCGGGTTCGTGTTCCTGTGGGGCGCAGACTCCCGTCACGAGGACACCTGCTCACTGTGGTACGTCTCTCATCTCACACTGATGTCATACTGATGATGTCACACTGATGACGTCACACTGATGATGTCACACTGATGATGTCACACTGATGACGTCACACTGATGATGTCACACTGATGACGTCACACTGATGACGTCACACTGATGACGTCACACTGATGACGTCACAGCGATGATGTCACAGCGATGATGTCACACTGATGATGTCACACTGATGATGTCACACCGATGATGTCACACCGATGATGTCACACTGATGATGTCACACCGATGACGTCACACTGATGATGTCACAGCGATGATGTCACACCGATGACGTCACAGCGATGATGTCACACCGATGACATCACACTGATGATGTCACAGCGATGATGTCACACTGATGACGTCACACTGATGATGTCACAGCGATGACGTCACACTGATGATGTTACACTGATGACGTCACACTGATGATGTCACAGCGATGACGTCACACTGATGACATCACAGTGATGACGTCACACTGATGACGTCACAGCGATGACGTCACACATGAGTTTACACCAGAAACACATTTTTGTCCAACACTTTAAACATTATTTCAACCAAATAATTTACACAGACATATATATATACATATATATATATATTATATATATATATATATATATATATATATATATATATATATATATATATATATATATATATTTTTTTTTTTTTTTTTTTTTTTTTTTTTTTTGATGGAATCCCCCAGTGTGATGTTGCAGACAAAACAGTTGTGTGTGTATGTGACATGTGTATGTGACCTGTGTGTACATGTGTGTATGTGAGATGTGACATGTGACGTGTGTGACATGTGTATGTACATGTGTGTATGTGACATGTGTACGTGTGTATGTGACATGTGACGTGTGTGTGTTCTCAGGCGTCGTCGTCTCGTGGGGCTCTGACATGTGTGTATGTACATGTGTGTATGTGACATGTGTGTGTGTGACATGTGTGTGTGTGACATGTGTACGTGTGTATGTGACATGTGTGTGTGTGACATGTGTGTGTGTGACATGTGTACGTGTGTATGTGACATGTGTGTGTGTGACATGTGACGTGTGTGTGTGACATGTGACATGTGTGACATGTGTGTGTGTGACATGTGTACGTGTGTGTGTGACATGTGACGTGTGACGTGTGTGTGTTCTCAGGCGTCGTCGTCTTGTGGGGCTCTGAGCCTGGACTTGGTCTCAGAGGACGACTTGTGGAGCAGAGGATCATGGGAGCGGGGCGTGCACGTGGGGGGGGGGCGTGCACGTGGACTGCAGGGTGGTGGGGGGGGCGGCAGAGGGCGGGAACCGACGTGTCCAAACTCAGACCCAGAGAGACCCGGGTCAAGACCGGGACCAAGACCGGGTCTCTGCCCCGAGCCAGCGAGAGGAACTGGGGCCGAGGAGAAACCAGCAAAGTCCTGAAGAACCGAGGCCACGCCCAGGTCAGACCAGACTCGGACCAGACCCGGACCAGACCCGGACTAGACCAGGACCACACCCGGACCACACCCGGACCACACCCGGACTAGACCCGGACCAGACCCGGACCACACCCGGACCAGACCCGGACCAGACCCGGACTAGACCAGGACCACACCCGGACCACACCCGGACCAGACCCGGACCAGACCCGGACTAGACCAGGACCACACCCGGACCAGACCCGGACCAGAGCGGGTTTAGACCTGGTCCAGTCCTGGTTTAGACCTGGTCCAGTCCTGGTCTCAGACTCTTGGTTCTTCCAGGTGTTTAAGGGTCAGAGTCGGACTCCTCAGCCCGGGAAGAAGCTCAGTTCTCAGGGAAGAAACCGCTGTGCGTCCATGGACCAAGTCCTGACCTCCAGGTACGACCTGACCCCTGACCCCTGACCTCTCTCTGACCTCTCTCTGATCTGGTTCTGATCCCGTCTTAGACCCGGTCTGGTCCGGTCCGAGCTCCGGTCTGAGGAGGCTCCTGTGGGGCAGCTCCAGAGTCTCATCGCTCAGAAGATGCAGAGAGCCCAAGAACTGCTGGAGGAGATGAGACTGCAGGTCAGACCGGGTTTAGACCTGGTTTAGTTCTGGTTTAGTCCAGGTTTAGACCTGGTTTAGTCCTGGTTTCTGACTCTGTGTTTTTTATCAGGAGCTACAGAAAACCAAGGCTCAACGAGAACGATCCACCCACAAGAACTCGCCCAAGAACCAGACCAAGACCCAGAACCAGACCAAGACCCAGAACCAGACCAAGATCCAGTCCAGGTGAGTCCAGCTCGTGTCCTTCGGTCTGACCCAGATCCTGGACTGAGTTCAGCTGCTCCATGAACCTGAAGCTCCAGGATCTTCAGGTTCTTTGAGTCTTGGTCCTGTTCTCCAGCTGTGACGCTAAAACCAGGCACTGCCCTGTCTCAAACTCACACTCAGGTCACACACTCAGGTCACACACTCAGGTCACACACTCAGGTCACACACTCAGGTCACACACTCAGGTCTAACTCAGGTCTCTTTCAGGTCTGGAGGATCTGCATCTCCACGAGTCAAGACCAAAGACTCTCCTCAGACCAAGACCAAAGCCAGAGACCAGACCAGGGACCAGACCAGGGACCAGACCAGGGACCAGACCAGGGACCAGACCAGACCAGACCAGAGACCAGACCAGGGACCAGACCAGAGACCAGACCAGACCAGGAGACCAGGGACCAGACCAGGGACCAGACCAGACCAGACCAGGGACCAGACCAGGGACCAGACCAGAGACCAGACCAGAGACCAGACCAGGGACCAGACCAGAGACCAGACCAGGACCAGACCAGGGACCAGACCAGGGACCAGACCAGGGACCAGACTTGTCCACAATCTTCACCAAACCCAGACCAAACCAAACCACGTGAGAGTCGATCCAGATCTGGACCAGAACCAGATCTGGGTTTGGAGAAGAACCAGGAGGGACCGAAACTGGACCAGAACCACGGCCCAGAAGAGAAAGAGTCAGAAGAGAAACCAGGTCTAAACCAGGACTTGGAGGAGGTCCTGGAGGAGGACTCGGACCCGGACCAGGACCCGGACCAGGACTCGGCTCAGGTCTTTGTTTTACTGTTTTCATCACTGGTGAACTTTCTGGAGACGGGCCCGTGTTAGTCAGGTCTGTGGAGAGGCGAGTCACTCACTTCTTTTGGGTTCCATAAAAGTTCCACACTGTGGCTTTAAGTCTTTAAGTATTTTCATGACCAGGTTCTGTAAAGTTCCTCAGACCCGGTGAGACGGAAAAAAAAATTCCCAAATTTGGCTTTTTTTTGTAAATAATTGTTTGACTTTTCTTCACAAACTGCATCTTGATTTGTGTAAAATTATAATCGATATTTTCCCTTTTAAACCCGATTAAAAACACAATATAAGAGACACCAGAGATTTAAGTCTGAATAAAAATAATTGAATTCTGAATAAAAATAATTTAATTCTGAATAAAAATTTGGCTTTAAAAAGTTCACGTAAACACTAAAGTCCAAATGAAAATGAAGATTCAGAATTCAAGTTAATAGTGAACAAAGTGTTTGGTTTATTCTGATTTTAAAGCCAAATGATTTTTTTCCTGGATCTTGTTTCATGTTTATTTTTCTTTTTTCCATTTAAATTCAGTTTATAATTATAAATTCTTATTTCCGTGGAAACTCCAAGAAGAAAATTTGATTTGAGAACAACAAAAAAACCTGTAAATGTGGTCTGTGTGGGACTCATGAAAATCTCTCTTCTCTTAGGACCAGGACCAGGACTCAGACCAGGAGCAGGACCAGGACCAGGAGCAGGAGCAGGAGCAGGACTCGGACCGGACTCCCGGTGTCCAGGAGCAGCGTGCAGAGGCGGAGCGTCTCCTGCAGGAGGCGCTGTGCTCCTGGAAACAGGCCCAGGAGGTTCTGAGGGAAGTGAAGGATCTACAGAGTCAAACGCTCAGGAGACAGAGACGCAAGACCTACCAGAACCTGAAACCGGACCAGGACCAGGACCAGGACCAGAACCTAAAACCTGACAGAGACCAGAACCAGGAGCAGAACAGAGACCAGGACAAAGATCCAGGACTCAACCAGGACCAGACCAAGACCGAGAGCAGGACCGACCCGAGCCCAGGAGCAGCTACAGACGAAGAACCAGACCAGAATCAGACCAGAACCTGCTCACCTGAGGGGGCGGGGCCGGGGGCGGGGCCACAGGACACAGACGGCCAATCCTAACACAGCATCTCAGCCACTTCCTGTAACATCCCGAGTGTGCGGACGTGACCCGGCTCCACCCGCTCTGGCTCCGGTTCTGTCTGTGTGTGACCTTTGACCTTTGACCTTTGACCCCGCTCTCTGTACCTGCTGCTGTCAGGCTCCTCCCCCTGACCCCTGACCTCTGACCCCGGGGTTTGAACTTCAGCGTTTTGTCCAGATCAGGATCTGAACATGAAGAACTGACCAATCAGACGCCTCCTTTCCCCGAGGCCCCTCCCACTGCCTTAGCAACAGGTTTGATTGACAGCGTTGCTAAGGGAGGGGGCGTGACCTTCACCAGCCTGGCTCCTGATTGGCTCTTTGGTTGCCATGACACTCGCTTCAACATCGTCTTCCTCCGACAAACAAACAAATAAACAAACAAACAAATAAACAAGCTCCAGTGCGGAACATTCCCTCTCGGTAGAACAGTTAAAGCTCCAGTGCGGAACATTCCCTCACGGTAGAACAGTTAAAGCTCCAGTGCGGAACATTCCCTCACGGTAGAACAGTTAAAGCTCCAGTGCGGAACATTCCCTCACGGTAGAACAGTTAAAGCTCCAGTGCGGAACATTTCCTCACGGTAGAACGGGTTAAACAGCTGGGGGGGGGGGGGGGGGGGGGGGGGGTTGTGTTTTTGTGGAAAACTTCAGGTCTTTTCAAGCACAACTTTTGTCAAACACAAAGTTTTTCTACATTTTTACAAACGTTT